CTACAACTTGATGTTAACACAAGCTGCACTCATGTCAAACGCTTCATTGTGGACATGTTTTGGACAAACACAAAGGTAAAGAGAATAAAACAGTAACACCCTCCACCCCATATACCCATGACTTCAATCATTTTCCCTGCACTTCTCACTCAGCCCTACCTCCATTCCCAGTATTTTATGGCTTTCTTAAACAGAAAATGGACATCTAAACTTAGCAATTCTATACTTATTTCTCTTCATCACATGGCCAAGATACTAGGTTCACACATATGTGTGCATGGCACCACTTGATGCAAATTCAAAATAGCACAAGGAAATATGAATGACAACTCCTTTTAGAAGCTAATTTTAAACAATCATTTTGAAATCACTGAGAATTGTGTGTATACTACGAACTGCATGATTTCAGAGCTGGTAGACAAACCAATTATAAATGCCCTTCTCTTGCCCCTGCCGGTCAGGTATCAACACCTGTGGCTGGGAACGGGCTGATTTGGTTAACTATTCTGAGGCTTAGCAGTGAGTGTTGTTTCAATGCAGGGTTGTCTGACAGCCTAAATAATGGCACCAAGTGCTAGTGCTTAAAGGCTGCTCCCGTGGCAGTAACTTTCAGGTAAAATTTAAACGTGATCACTTTCTCTGAAGAAGGCTAAGCAGCTGGCATTGTTTATGTGCAAGTGGGCATGCTGCGAGGTCTAGAAACGATGATGAGCTACTACAATGCAGCAGACACCACTTCCACCTTCAAAACCCTTGACTATTTGGGCAAGAGTAAAGGAGAAAATAACCACTGGTGACTCACCTGCAAGATCAATACTGCTGTGAGAGACTTATAGGCTGTGAACAATACTCCAGTCACTGTCACCATTTCTTTCATATGTTTTTCTTAATGGCATATTATACCAGGTTTTCAAGGGTATGTCTCCTACACAGGATGCAACTGTTCTGCTCTCAAAATTAGCAGACACCGATCTACACCACTGTGCAACACTACAGCACCTTTATGATAAGCAAGTGAAGAAAATAAAAATGTAAAACATTTTTAAAAAATTTTAAATGTATTTAAAAGACAGCAAGAGAAAGGGATAGAGAGGGGCCAGGAGGGAAGGAGAAAGAGGCAAAGAAACAGAAAGAAATGACAGAAATGAGAGAGCTTCAATCTTCTGGTTCACTCCCCTAGCTGCCCACAACAGCCAGCGCTGGGCCAAGTCAAAGCCAAGATCTGGGAATTCAGTCTGGGTCTCCCATGTGGGTGGCAGGACCCAAGCACTTGGGGCATCATCAGCTGCCTCCCAGGTATCAGCAGGAACCTGGAATCAGAATCAGAGCTGGGACAATGCCAAGGCACACTAACACAGGCTGCAAGCATCTTAGCCGCTGTGTCAGAGGCCCAACTCCCCCACACTTTCCAGTAGTGTGGACTGCCCACTTGGTTTACCAGGCTCCTGCAGCTGAGTGCCTCCTTGGGATTAAGTTTTGGCACAGGTGCAGGCAGAACCGAGTGACAGTTTATAGGACTTTTTCCATACCCAGCAGTTGCTGTCTTTTTAACAAATGGTGTGAGAAGCTGGATCTGTACTCGACAATGAAGTCAGACTGTGACTTTACCCCATATACTAACATTAATTCGAAATGTAATTAGAAAGATCTAAACATAACAGCTAAACCTATAAAATTCTTAGAAGAAAATATAGGGGCAAACTTCATGATGCTCCATTTGCAGATGATTTCCTGCATGTGACAGCAAAAGCACAGGCAACAAAAGAAAAGTAGGTAAATAGGCTTCATCAAAACACAAGCTTCTGGGGCCAGCATTGTGGTGTATCAGGTAAAGCCGATGCCAGCATCCCATATGGGTGCCAATTCAAGTTCCAGCTGCTCCACTTCCCATCCAGCTCCCTGCTAATGTCCTGGGAAAGCAGCAGAGGACAACCCAAGTGCTTGGGCCCCTGCATCCACATCAGAGACCTGGAAGAAGCTCCTGGCTCCTGGCTTCGGACTGGCACAGCTCTTGTTGTTGTGGACATTTGGGGAGTGAACCAGTGGAAGACTTCTCTGTCCGCCTGTCTCTCTCCCTCTGTAACTCTGCCTTTCAAATAAATAAATAAATCTTTTTAAAAAATATTTATTTTAAAACATAGAAACAGTAAAACAATCTGTATAAAACAGAAACAAAAGAGTTAAATAGACACTTCTCCAAAGATATACAAATGGTCCACAAGTACACAGAAAAAAAAAGATCAACATCACTAAACATTAGAGAAAAGCAAACACAAATTATGGTGTGAAACCACTTCATACCCATTGGGTGGCTGTGATCAAAAACAGAGAATTTGTGCTGGCGCTGTGGCGTAGCAGGTAAAGCCGCCACCTGCAGTGCCGACATCCCATATGGGTGCCAGTTCAAGTCCCGGCTGCTCCACTTCCAATCCAGCTCTCTGCTATGGCCTAGGAAAGCAGTAGAAGATGGCCCAAGTCCTTGGGCCCCTGCACTCACATGGGAGACCCCGAAGAAGCTCCTGGCTCCTGGCTTTGGATAGGCACAGCTCCAGCTGCTGCAGCCAATTGGGGAGTGAACCATCAGATGGAAGACCCCTCTCTCTCTCTGCTTTTCTGTAATTGTGCTTTTCAAATAAATAAATGTCTTGGGCCAGCGCAGCGGCTTAATAGGCTAATCCTCTACCTAGCGGCGCCGGCACACCGGGTTCTAGTCCCGGTCGGGGCGCCGGATTCTGTCCCGGTTGCCCCTCTTCCAGGCCAGCTCTCTTCTGTGGCCCAGGAAGGCAGTGGAGGATGGCCCAAGTGCTTGGGCCCTTCACCCCGTGGGAGACCAGGAGAAGCACCTGGTTCCTGGTTTCGGATCAGCGTGGTGCGCCGGCCGCAGCGCACCGGCCATGGCGGCCATTGGAGGGTGAACCAACGGCAAAAGGAAGACCTTTCTCTGTGTCTCTCTCTCACTATCCACTCTGCCTGTTTAAAAAAAAAATAATAAAATAAATAAATAAATAAATAAATGTCTTTAAAAAATAACTCTTACACAGGAGAAAAATGAAACCAATAAAAATGTTACGAATATATTAACTGTGAAGAGGCAGGATGACAGCTCTTCAAATACCTAATACTGTACAAGGCAACATGTGTCAAACCATATTTGCACACTAAAGACTGCTTGGCTACTATTTGTAATAACACAGTGTTAAGTAACCTACCTGGAAGATACAAAATAATAAACAATAAAAAGGAGAAATTACATCAATGATATGGAACTAAAGCACCAGATTAAGTGAAGGGTAATATATACGCCAGGCCCAGCTGCTGTGTCAGATGTCAGCAGCCCACTTCTGGGGCTGGCATGGGCTGCGGTGCCCAGGCCTTACCCAGGGCTCTGGCCAGCTCCACGCTCAGGGTCTGAGCAGCTGCCCCTGAAAGCGTGCACCTGGCTCTCCTTGCATGACCCCAGAAGCACGGCCAGTCCTGGCCTGGGCTTGCAGGCCACTCACGCCACCGCACTCACGCTGCCCCAGCCACTCATCTGGGGGTGGCACACCAGCACCACAGTCCCCCACGCCGTGGCTGGGGTGCTCTGAACTGCTTCCCACCGTCCCCACTCATGACACTCCGGCCACTTAATGCAGCAGCTGCCCGAGTATCTTCTCTCCTGCAATCTCCCCACCTTCCCATGTGTGAAGCAGAGAGAGAGAGATCCCATCCACTGGTTCACGCCCCAAATGCTTCTAATGCTGCAGCAGGCCTGGGCTGGAGCCAGGAGCTGGGCACTAAGAAACGGAATCCAGGTCTTCCACCTGGGCGCAGGACCCAGTTCCTTGAGTCATCATAGCCGCCTCCCAGGGTCTGCCCTGGCTGAAAGCCGGCAGGAGCGGAGCCAGGTATTGAACCCAGGTACTCTGACGGGGGCCTGTGTATCCTAACTGCTAGAGTAAACAGCCCCGCCCCCCAAGAAACTCTGGCCCTCAAATCCTTGTCTCAAGGTGGTGTCCTGGAGAACCCAGACTGTGACAGGGTTTGTGCATCGGAGCTGTGCCCTGCTCAACCCGTGACAGCAACCACTGCAGCCCGGTAAACAGATTAAGTTCTTCATTCCCACAGCAACCAGAACCAGTGAGAAGGTGAAAACTGCCATGCTCTCATCATTAATATGTAAATTCAACCGATGGGTCACTGTTATTGAAAGACACAAAAACATTAAGAGGCTCTAAGAGTTCGGATGGAGAGCAGGAGAGAAGCCCCAGGAAGGCCGTGTGCCTCGCGAGGCCCAGTGCAGCAGCCCTCAGACCCGGCCAGTCCCACTACCCGGGCAGCGTTTGCTGAGCACCTATTTCTTTTCCTTCTTTAGATTTTATTCAGCGGCTGGCTCTGGGGCACAGTGGGCGAAGTTGCTGCCTGCAGTGCTGGCATCGCATATGGGTGCCGGTTCCAGGCCGGACTGCTCCGCTTCTGAACCAGCTCCCTGCGGAAATGCTTGGGAAAGAAGGTGGTCCAAGTGCTTGTGCCCCTGCACGCCCGTGGGAGACCTGCAAGAAGACAGCGGCTCCGGCTTCAGTCTGGCCCAGCCCTGGCCACTGTGGCCATGTGGGGAGAGAACCAGGAGACGGAGGATTTCTCTCTTCCTCTGTAACTCTGCCTTTTTAAAACATAAGGATTTTATTGATTGATTTATTAATTATTTGAAAGGCAGAGTTACAGAGAGAGAAGGAGAGACACAGAGAGCCTGGGAATCGAACACAGACACACCCACAGCCGGCATCTCAGAGCTCCCACGAGGCCCCCGGACTGGGAGCGCTATGCTCTTCTCGCCCTCGGCCTCTGCGTCCAGGGGCACTATCAGGTGAAGAAGCTCAGCCACCGGCCGTGGGAACCCGCCATGGTGACACACCTCCTGCACGGGGTGTTGTGAGGACAACATGAAGACAGAGCTGGCACGTGGTGAGCGTGAGGCGCCTAACCTGCTGTCACGCGCCACAGGCACGGCCGTGGCGGGGGGGAAGGCCGGCAGGTGTCTCCCAGACAGAGCAGCTGGCTATGGGACAGCGTCCGCGCAGGCCCAGCCTGTCACAGGCCTCCCGCTCAGGGTCCAGGCTTCCCTGTGGCCAGGAAGAGGGAGCCCCGAGGCACAGCGCGCAGGGCAGCGCCACTTGGTAAGGTTCGCCGGGCGCACTCACCAGCAGGAAACCCCCTGGGTGCTAGGGAGAACCCAGAGGGATGTATCTGGAAAAGGAAGACTCGGGATAGCCCTGCAAACCGGGACGCGTTAGGCAGCGCGGGGGAAGCAGGTTCGGTGGCGCGCATCAGACACGCGGCGGTCCCAGGACGCGTCCGCACAGCATTAGGATTTTTTAAAAAAAAAAAAAGCCGACATCAGGCCAGCTCGGAGGACGCCGGCCGCCCGGCGGCAGCGCCAAGGCCGGCGGGGGCCACCCGGGGCGGCTGCGGGGACGGGGCCCGCCGGCCTGCATCCTCCCTCCAGAAAAACAGACGTGACAGACGTTTTACCAATACCTAAGGCGGCGCCGGCCTCCCTCGCCTTCACCCTGGCCGGAGAGGCGCGGAGCCGCCTCGGAGCGCGCCGGCCCCTGACGTCCCCCCGGTGGGCGTGGCTGGCGGGGGTGGGCGGAGCTGGCGGGGGCGTGGCTGGCGGGGCGGGACGGGGCGCGCCGCCGCGCCTGCGTGCGCGCTCGGCCTCCTGTACTTGCGAGCCTCCGCCTGCAGGGGGACCCCGAGCGCGCGGCCTTCGCTGCCCGCGGGCGTCCAGCGCGGCGGCCTCCCCCGGCGACGACACGGGAGGCCTGGCTGGGCCTCAGGCAGGCTGCTCCGGCTTTGTTCTGGCGAAGCCGGCCTCTTGGCCGCGCCGTAGTCCGCGTTCCGGACAAGGCTGTTTTAATCTCGCTGCCCGGTTGTTTCCGGCCGCAGGCGAGGCTTCCGTGGGGACCGCTGGGGAGGAGGCGCGCTGGAGGCTCCCTGCTGCCTGGAGCTGTCTGTCAGCCCCACGCCGGGCCGGCCCCGCGCAGCACACGGTGGCCACGCGGGCCGCGGACGCGCTTAGGACGGGCCGAGAAGCGAGGCTCGACAAAGGCTTGCAAGTGTCCGGAAGGGCTCTTAAAGAGGCCTTGCACGACTGTGGGCTCGACCTGGGGCGGGCTGGCCTTGAGTCCGCGGCGTGCCGAAAGAAACCGAAGTCAGAGATCGCGGACGCCGTGCTCCTGACGAAGGACACACGCCAGCCGTTCGGGCTGGAAGACGTCATGCAAGAGAGTCCCGGACCGCACTCCACAAGCCGGCTGTACCGCTCCCGGGCAGAGCTGCGAGGTGTCTGCAAGTGCGGCTCGTGTGTTCTTGAGCCCTGCGCATGCTGCAGGGACAGTTATGTTCCGGGCACAGTCCAAGGTCAGCTAAGTCTAGGTTTTTTCTTTTTTAAATTTTAATTTATTTGAAAGGCAGAGTTACAGAGAGAGGTGCAGAGAGAAGGTCTCCCTTCTGCTGGTCCACTCCCCAAATGGCCACAGCAGCAGGTGCTGGGCCAGGCAGAAGCCAGGAGCCTGGAGCTGCTTCCGGGTCTCCCACGTGGGTGCAGGGCCCCAAGGACTTGTGCCATTTTCTGATGCTTTCTCAGGTGCCTTAGCAGGGAGCTGGATCAGAAGTGGAGCAGGTGGGTCTTGAACCTGCAGCCATATGGGATGCTGGTGTCGCAAGCAAAGGCTTAACTTTCTACACCACAACACTGGCCCCCTGCACCCATGTGGAGACTAGGAAGAAGCTCCTGGCTGCCGGCTTCGGCCTGGCCCATCCCTGGTCGTTGTGGCCATTTGGGGAGTGAACCAGCGGATGGAAGATTCTCTTTCTCTTTCTCTGTATCTCCTCCCTCTGTAACTCTGTCTTTCAAATAAATAAAAAATCTTTTTTTAAAAAAAGTTCTGTTCTGGGGAGGGACCCTGAGAAGGGTGTTTTTATTTTTATTTTTTAATATTTATTCATTTATTTGAAAGGCAAAATTAGAGAGGCAGACGTAGAGAGAGGGAGAGAGAGAAGAAGGTCTTCATCCACTGGTTCACTCCCCAAATGGCCCCAATGGCCAGAGCTGGACCAAACAGGTACAGGGGCCCAAGCACTTGGACCATCTTCCACGGTTTTCCCAGGCCATAGCAGAGAGCTGGGTCCAAATGGAGCAGCCAGGAGTCGAACTGGTGCCCATATGGGATGCCGGCACTGCAGGCAGCAGCCTTACCTGGGTGTTTTTAAACACTAACGTGTTGGGGCCGGCGCCATGGCTCACTTGGTTAATCCTCCGCCTGCGGCGCCAGCATCCCATAGGGTCACCGGGTTCTGGTCCCAGTTGTTCCTCTTCCAGTCCAGCTCTGCTGTGGCCCCGGGAGGGCAGTGGAGGATGGCCCAGGTGCTAGGGCCCCTGCACCCACATGGGAGACTGGGAGGAGGCACCTGGATCCTGGCTTCGGATTGGCATAGCTCTGGCCGTTGCGGCCATTTGGAGAGTAAACCAATGGAAGGAAGACCTTTCTCTGTCTCTCTCTCTCTCACACAGTCTGTAACTCTACCTGTCAAAATAAATAAAAATCTTTAAAAAAAAATACTGTGTTAACTCCTTCAGAGGCTGACATTGTGGCACAGTGGATAAAATTGCTGTCTGCAGTGCTGACATCCCATCTGAATACCAGTACAAGTCCTGGCTACTCTGCTTCCCAAACAGCTCCTTGCTATTTTGCCTGGGAAAGCAGCAAAAGGTGCCCCAGATCCTTGGGCCCCTGCCATCCACGTGGAAGACGCACAAAGCTCCTGGCTGCTGGCTTTCGACTGGCCCAGCTCCCATTGTTGTGGCTATCTGGGGAGTGAACCAGCAGATTGAAGATCTGTCTCTTCTCTCTATCTGTAACTCTGCCTTTCAAATAAATAAATAAATATTTTTTCATGGAAGTAATATCAAAGAAAAGTGAGGAAGCACTTTTTTTAAAGAATTCACCTAAAAATGAAAGTGACCGTTTTGCTTTAACAGGAAGAAGCTAAGGAAAACTGTGATGACTTATGCAAAGCTGACAGGTAACGGCAAAGTGTTCATGGGGCACGGTTGTTCCCAGGATTGAGCTTGGTACTGCCTGACATCCTCTGCTTCCTTAGCCAGCCTGTTTCTCAGATGAAGAGCGCCTTAATGAAATGAGACAATGTATCGCTCTGTACTTACTGAGTGCCAGTGCTGTCACTGTAGTAGCAGAATCACAAATAACACAGCATCACATCTGAAGTTCACAGGCTCAGAGGAGCCGTCTCGCTGTCCTCTTGTCCAGGAGCCCAAACGGGTGAGGTCAGAGTCTGGGATATGAGAGCGTCCTCTTCATCCAGCCACGCGTGCTTTGCTCTGTCAGCTGTGGAGATCCTGCGTGTTCATTTCCCTCTGTGTTGCTCGCTGGGCACTCACAGCTTCATCTGGAGCCCTCACTGGCGATGTGAACAGATCCCCTGTCCTGGATATATCAGATCCACAGTGTCTGTGCCTGGCCACCTGCGATATCTACAGGCACCACATTACAGTAAAGGAGGGATAGTATACAAAAGATACAAAAGTGGCCGGCGCCGCGGCTCACCAGGCTAATCCTCCACCTTGCGGCGCCGGCACACCGGATTCTGTCCCGGTTGCCCCTCTTCCAGGCCAGCTCGCTGCTGTGGCCAGGGAGTGCAGTGGAGGATGGCCCGAGTACTTGGGCCCTGCACCCCATGGGAGACCAGGATAAGTACCTGGCTCCTGCCATCGGATCAGCGCGGTGTGCCGGCCGCAGCGCGCCAGCCGTGGCGGCCATTGGAGGGTGAACCAACGGCAAAAGGAAGCCCTTTCTCTCTGTCTCTGTCTCTCTCACTGTCCACTCTGCCTGTCAAAAAATAAAAAATAAAAATAAAAACAAAAACAAAAAACAAACAGACAAAAAAAAAAAGATACAAAAGTATCTGTGTGCTCCTTTCCTCCTCCTGAGAGGTGCGTATACCTTCAGTGATAACAATTTGTGGCACCATAGTTTACGCTGCGGCCTGAGACACCAGCATCCCATAGGAGCACCAGATGGAGTCCCAGAAGCGCTCTGCTGATGCACCTGGGAAGGCAGCAGAGGCTGGTCCCTGGGCTTGGGGCCCTGCCACCCACGTGGAAGACCCAGATGGAGTTCCAGGCTCCTGGCTTCTGTTGGCCAGCCCTGGCCATTCAGACCATTTGGGGAATAAACCAGCAGAGATGGAAGACCTTTCTCTGTCTCTCCCTATGTCAGTTCTGATTTCCAGTGTTCTGAGGCACACTGGCATCTGAACAACCTTCACCTCCAGGTTCCTGCCACCATTCCTGGGAGCCTCTTCCTTGAATTCCTTTTAAGATTTATTTTTTATTTGAAAGTCAGAGTTACACAGAACGAGAAGGAGAGGCAGAGAGAGAGAGAGAGGTCTTCCATCCACTGGTTCACTCCCCAATTGGCTGCAAAGACTGGAGCTGTGCCAATCGGAAGCCAGGAGCCAGGAGCTTCTTTTGGTTCTTCCACAATGGGTCCAGGAGTCCAAAGACTTGGGCCATCTTCTGCTGCTTTCCCAGGCCATAGCAGAGAGCTGGATCAGAACAGGAGCAGCCAGGATTCCAATCTGCAGCTGTATGGGATACTGGCACCACAGGCAGAAGCCTAGCCCATTACACCACATGCCGGCCCCTGTTGTCTTTCCTGATTGCCCATGGAACTGAAAACCCAATTTTGCTTAGTCTTCTACAAAATGAATGCCCTATGCTTTTATTGGCCTAATATTCATGAGAGATGTTTAGAAGAGGGCACCAAACACGCATGTGTGCAGGAAACATGCACCCTCAACAAGGTTTCCGTGTCTGTTCCATGTCATTGTGGTTCTGGGAAGACAGAATGGCCTGAGTCTAGCTGGCAATGTTATAACATTAAGCAGTGACTCCCAGTGATAGTCAACGGGGTTCAGCTTTGTTATAATTTTAATTGTTCTCTTGATTATAGAGAGAGAAGGCATGGAAGGAAATGGTTGTTTTTGCTTTTTTGAATACTTTATGCTGAGAACTTTTAGATTACAGTATTTTTCTTGATATGGAAACATCTTTATTTCAATATCACTGTTGAAAGATTATCCTGCTGGGGTCACAGACAGCTTTTCCATTCTTCTGCTTGCTTGGGTGCTTTTGAGAAGTCTGACTCAACTGCTGCCCTGCAAGGGTTGTCTCTGGCTTCCTACTCGTGTGTTCTGTTTGTTTTTGGGGTAGTACAGTTTCACTACAGCGTGTCCAAGTGTGGATTTCTTCTTATTTATCCTGGTTGGGATTCACAGGACTTCTTGAATCTGAGAAATGTTTTCCTTGGTTCTGTAAGTTACAACACATACATATATTTACAAATATTTTTAAATGTTTTCTCTATTCTTTTTTATATATATTTCACATTTTTTTTACCTTTCTTTCCTATTTTCCATCTGCTTGAAAGTCTGTGATCTGTTCTAGGTAACAGTTTCATATTTTTTTCCAACTCGTTAATTTTTTCTTCTTCTTTGCCTAATCCGTTGCTGAGCCTGTCCATTGTGCTTAAGTGATAATTACCGTAGCTTTCTCCCTCAGAGATGTCTCTGATTCCTTTGCAGTTCTACCTGTCCTGTGTTGGTGGTGCCTTTTTCCTTCTTCTTTTCAATTTTATCTTTTACCTATTGAAATACCTCACATTTAGTTCTGTCCTGTTCCATACATCACAATATAAAGCTAATCTTGGAAGTCGTTATAAATCTGAATGTGTTGTCTCTTATTTCTTGCCCATTGGTTTAATATTTTATTATGAATTAATCTATGGCTGACTTTCCATGGAGGAGATACTGGTGGTTTAGATGAAAGATTGTTTTCCAGCAGAACAGATTTCTGATTATTTCTTTCAAGTGCCAGGACACGGTGCCACCAACCTTGGGTACTTTAATTTCTTGTCCTGACCATGAGGAGTCTCAAGCCTGACCCATGGGAGAACCCTTTAGACGTTTCATTGCTTTTATCATTTTTTTCCGGAAGCTGTGGGCAGAGATAGTAAGGCCTCTTATCGCTCCTGTTACTGCCAGGGATTTGCCGCAGTTACCCATTCCCCAAGGCTGCAGGATCTTCAATGCTGGTTTCATTTGGTGGGCATTTCAGATTGGCTTCAAGTCCAGAGGCCTTGGGACCTCCATTTCTGCACCCATGAGTGCTGTGTGATGCCCGCGTCTAGGTTCCTGATCTTCAGACGGGTAGCTCTCTGCTGTCAGCTTGCTATTCGTTTCATCTGTTTCTGTTGGGTGTGGGTGGAAATCTTGGTGGTTTTCCTTATTTTACTGCAAATTCCACAAAATGCTTCAAAGCATTTTGGTGTACTGTCTTTATCCAATATTGAGGTGTTCAGCTGTGTGAAAACCAATATTTAGCTTCCTATGCTGCTAGTAAAGAAGCTGTAAATAATTTTCAAACTTTTTTGCTTAAAAGAAGAAAGAGTGGGGGCCAGTGTGGTAGCATAGCAGGTGAAGCTGCTGCCCCCAGCACTGGCATCCTGTATGGGTGCCACTGCATGGCCAGCTATCCCTCTTCAGATTAAGCTCCCTCCCAAGAGCCTGAGAAAGCAGCAGAAGAGGCCTACGTGCTTGGGCCCCTGCACCCATGTGGGCGACCAGGAAGAAGCTCAGGGTTGGCCCCCATCCCCATTCACTCTTAATAATGCATCCGGTTTGTCAAGATTCTGATAATCCCTTCAAGAGTTACTGTTAAGAAAACAGACAAAAATGGGAAACCTTTAGCAATCAGGCTGACAACGAGCCACTCTCAGTCATCCAAGAATATCAAAGAAATTACAGAGAAATATCAGAAAATTCGTTTGTTCTGTGCTTCTTTATTCACGGCCTTATTTCAAAGAGAATTTAAGATAGCTACAAAGATACATAAAATTTCAGATATAAAAAAGACATAGGTGAGAAAAAAACGAACAAGAAGAAATAAACAAAGGAGTGAGATTAAACAGAAGTGTGCACCTCGGAGTCCCTTACCCTTGTTAGGAGGCAGGTGGCAAACCTGCAAACCTGCAAACCTGGCCTTAGGCTGTCTAAGAGTGGCTTACAAAGGAACCCCACGCCAGTGTGAGAGAACCGCAGACTCCTAGCACTGGTGGAAGGTCTCACAGAGCATAGCATCAAGAGGGCGCTGTGTCCTGAAAGCAGCATCTTGTAAAAGGGGAACTATTAGAACTATGTGGGGACAAGAAATGGGACTATCCTCCAGAACCCAGGAAGTGCCCCATGTAGAGTAATCACAGCTGCAGGCTCTACAATGCCTTATGCCTGCATCCCTCCAAGTGAGCCAATGAATGTACACAAAACACCACGCAGCAAAAGCAGCTCCACTTGAGATTAACATGACATGGCTAGTGGCAACTTGCAGCTGATCTGATCAAACAATAGGTGTTGGTGCATCCTGGTGCACAAGTCACAAACTCCAGCAATTTCAGGGCCAGGGAGTTAGCATCCACGGTCAGGTACAGGATCCCAGGAAAAGGGGGGTGAGTATAAGAAAAGTGTTTTGGAAAACGAAATCCATCCATTGTAGAGTTTTGTTTCTAATAGTTGAGAATAATAGCATATCCAAGAGTGTGCTTGTTTCTGCACTAGACATCCTATAGAGAGCCCAACTAGGCCTTCATTTCTCAAAGACTCCTCGCTTGTGTTTGTCACTCTCTTGAAAAATTTCAGGAAAGTTTCAATTAAACAACAATTTCTGTACCAACTCTTGACTTTTATAAGCAGCTCACTCTTTTGAACACTAATCATTACTGACTCAAATTTTCCTCTGACTCTGGCTTCTGAAAGAAAACTTTTTCTTGGTCTTTTAGTAGAAAGAGCTGTTTAAAAATAGCCCAGTCAACCAGAGGCCACATAGTAAAAGCATGCAATGCTGAGGAAGGGAGCAAACAGTGGAAGGGTGATAATGGCCTCACCTCTCACAGTGCCTGGTGAGACACTGCCCAGTACATGTCAGTGTGAGGTCCCCACTGATGGACATTGTCTCACCTCTCAATGTGTAGTCAGACAGCATCCAGTGCAGGCCAGTGTGACATCCCAGATATTGGACAGCGGTCTAACCTGTCAAAGTGCTGGTCAGACACTGTCCAGTGCAGGACCCCTGATGGCCATGCTGCCATTTCCCACAATTCCCAAGCCTCTTTGCAAATGCCCACACCCTATCCCTTGCCATTCTCACAGAGTCCATCAGCAAGGACCCCAGTGCCCTCAGGTGGATCTGTAGCCAGGGGCTTCCATTGCCGGAAGCGGGGTCTGTGTTCCTCCCCTGTAGTCACCTTCCCGGCCTCAGGAATTTTTCCTCCCTTCCTTGTTTCTTCAACTTTTCCTTTTCTCCAGGCTCTTATCTGTCAACAGACAGGTCAAACCTCCTTATCTTTAAACAAACCAGACCGCCCAGGCCCTGCACAGCTTCTGAACTGGGGCCTCCAGGCACGGTCTTGGCTCTGCACCACTGCACGGGCTCTCGCAGGCAGGACCCTGGTGCCAGCGCTTCGCCCCGACAGCTCCTGCCTGATGACCTCCTAGCTGCTGAATCCTCTTGTCCTTTTACAGCGCTTGCCACTGCTGACTTCTTTTAAGTCTCCCTCGTCTCTGCATTTCCAGAGCACTACTCTGGCCGTCCCCTGACATGCCTGGGCGTTCACTGACATTCGGAGTTGGGTGGCCCTCCTCACGTCCTCCTCTACAGGCCGTCCGTCTGGTGTTGTCCAGCTCCCACTCTGCAGCTCTAGAGCAGTCCTAAGTGCCTGATCCCCAGCCAGCCCGCCTCAAACTCCATGTGTCTACAACTGAACTTACCCTACCGTTCCCATTCTCTCCCTGAACTAATGTCATCACCTCAGCTCACACTGGTCATTAAGATCTCTTTGAGGGGCTGGTGCTGTGACGTAGTGGGTAAAGCCACCACCTGCAGTGCCGGTATCTCATATGGGAGCCAGTTTGAGTCCTGGTTGCTCCTTTTCCATTCCAGCTCTCTGCTATGGCCTGGGAAAGCAGCAGAAGATGGCACATGTCCCTGGGCCCTTGCACCGACGTGGGAGACCCAGAAGCTCCTGGACTGGCTTCGGATTGGCCTAGCTCTAACCCTTGCGGCCATCTGGGAAGTGAACCAGCGGATGGAAGGTCTCTCTCTGGCTCTGTTTCTGCCTCTCTGTATCTCTGCTTTTCAAGTAAATAATCTTTTTTTAAAAAAAGATGTCTTTGATCCTCCTTCCCTCCTGCATCTACCTCTAATTCGTCATTAAGTCCCAATTCTCTCCTGAATCAGTCCCCTACTCTGTCACATCACTACCCTTCTGCAAGACATTCCCCAGTAGGAACAAAGTGAGTGCATTCTGACAGGTTTGCCGGCCGTGTCTATACCACTGCCAGGACAAGGCCATACCTTTGGGAAACATCTAAGTTACTTAGCACGACAGCAAAGGGCATTCACTTTCTAGCTTTCTCAAATATAGCCCGGTCAAACAACCCAAGTGCCCTGAAAACGCCTCTCCAGCCTCTTTCTCTAAGTTGCCTGTGGCTTCCCCACCCCCACTATTTAGTCCTGCAACACTGAGGTCGGATTTCCCCACCTGCAGGGTGTCCACTCCAAGCCCTCCTCCCCCACCAAGACCAGGTGCTGCCCTGGCATATCCCCTTAGCTGGGCTGTATGCTTACTTCTCAGGAGGCACTCGTACCCACTTGGCAAGTGTGAATTTACTTACCTGGACCCTGCCTTGAGTACCAGGCATGCATTATTCCTTTTGTCCTCACACCGTCTGAGAAGCAGTGTGGGGAGCAACTCGGACTATACTGTTACTGGAATTAAGACTTATTCTATGCATCTGCTCTCCCACAATATGGCGCTGGGAGAGGAGTAAACAGCTTCTACCCAGCTGCCTCTCACCAACTTGACAAGCTGCAGGAGCTGCTCCTGATTGGAGGAGAGCGGCGTGCTCGGCGTGTGGGCAGCCGAGTTAGGATTGGCGGAGGAGGACTATAAAGGAGGAGAGAGACGGCATTCACCAGGAACACCTATGGGGAACATCTAAGGGGAACATCTAGTTGAAGGAACACCTGTGCAGCCCCCAGAGAGCCGGCCGGCGGTGTGCCGCTCCCCTGCGGAAGTGGGGAATGTGGCCAGGGGGAACTGCCCTTCCACGGAGGTGGAAGGGATAGTAGCCAACCCGGGAAGAACCAGCAGCAAACCCGGGGAGGGCCGAGCAGACGAAAAGAACAGCGCAGGGTCCTGTGTCGTTCCTCCACGAAGAGGGGGAGCGACATAATGGTGCCGTGACTCGGATATGAAGCCTAGGCAGGGCTTAGTGTTGCTCCTCCACGAAGAGGGGGAGCGACAAAGCAGGGCCTAGCACTAGCCTTGGTTTCCAAGCGAGGAAACTAAGCAATTTCTTGGATGCTGCAGATTTACTTCTTAATCTTTTTGGGGGGTCTGGGGCGTGGGGACAGGATCATGTCCTGTTTGCGGAGCTTGGCAAAGTCTGGCACACAGCAGCTCAATAAAGTGTTTTGTTGAATGAATGAATGAAGAGCTCCAATGATAGACTGGAACCAACACACAGAAAACAAACAGGGGGAGATTTTAGTTTAGCAGAAGGAAGAACATTGTATCAGCTGGCATCATTCAAAAATTGACCACAGTCGGCCCTGGTGACCACAGGTTCTGCACTTGCAGACCCAACCAGGTGCAGATCAAAAACACTGGGGCGCCGCGCGCTCACTAGGCTAATTCTCTACTTGCGGCACTGGCACACGAGGTTCTAGTCCCGGTCGGGGTGCCGGATTCTGTCCCGGTTGCCCCTCTTCCAGGCCAGCTCTCTGCTGTGGCCTGGGAAGGCAGTGGAGGATGGCCCAAGTGCTTGGGCCCTGCACCCCATGGGAGACCAGGAGAAGCACTTGGCTCCTGCCTTCGGATCAGCGCGGGGCGCCGGCTGCAGCGTGCCAGCCGTGGCGGCCATTGGAGGGTGAACCAACGGCAAAAGGAAGACCTTTCTCTCTGTCTCTCTCTCTCACTGTCCACTCTGCCTGTCAAAATAAATAAATAAATAAATAAAATAAAATAAACACTGGGAAAAACCTGCACGTGTTGAGGATGTACAAACTCCCTCCTCATTAGTCCTTAAACAATTACTCACCTAGCCTTTCGATCGTATTAGGTATTCTAAGTAACCTAGAGATGACTGAAGGTATATGGGAGATGTGCATGTATCTGTTACATGCAAATGCTACTCCTACCTGCTGGACACAGGCAGTTACTGCACTAAGCAGGATTTAGCATGCAGGTGTCTGTCTTTTATTAGCTTTTGTTCTCCAGACTCTAGCCCAGGGCTAGAAAAGCTAAGCAGGTGTTTGTGAAGCTGAACTGGATTGAACACAGAAGCCCAGCAAATTAAAAACTGCGTATTTTTACTGGAAATTTAACTTGCACTCTTCTTATTTCTTCCCATTACTGCCCAAAGAGCTTTGAGAAGGGAGGACAGGTGGCAGGTTTGGGCCTCATTTGCTGCTAGTAACAGGTCATCAGGCTGCAAGCCCTGCATGGGCAGGGCCAGCACCTTTTCATCACTACCCTTAGGCTAGCACTTGGTAGAGACTCGCTGCATGGAACACACACAGACGCAGGGACAAGACGCACGGAGATACGTGCCTCAGGGAAAGCCAGCTTTAGCTGGAACACCAGACCAGATCAGAGTGGTCACCCTGCAAAACTAGTGAAATTATGGGCTTTGGATCCCAAAACAGACAGAAAGGAAGGACAAGAGAAGAAAAGCACTACCTAGCAACTGTCATTCCCAAGGCTGGGACGCGCTCAAGGAGGCACAATCTTTCCCAGATACCCACAGCCGGAGAGTGCAGAAGCAGTAGCTGCATGAGCGCTGGGGTTCCTGCCAGATTTCAGATTATGTGATTTTCATTTGTTGATCCTGAATATCAAACTGAGAGGCACTTAAATGATTCTGATGGCTAAATGCTGTTCTTGACAGTGCAAACAGACATGCAAGAGAGAAACTGTTAGTGGAGCTCATTCCAGCGGGGTGTGGGTGTGGGAGACAGGTGATAAGCAAGAGAAGGCTGCTAGAGACCAGGCGAGTGACAGGACGACAGGGACATAGTGCAGCGCTCCCATTGCCACGTGCTGGACTTTCTCACCCCACAGGGCCCTCCAGCAACCTCTGATAGTACTCATAAGGCCCCAAAGTCCACCCTTCCTGAGTGTCCCACTGTATAAAGGCCCCTGTAACTTCGGCCACTTCCTCCCTGGCTTCCAGCTTTCCTCTCCTCTGGCCACAGGAAAAAAAAACCTGAAATTTTCTTTTCAAAAGCCTTCCACAAACTGTGCAGCACATAGGTGAGTTTGGTGTCACTGATCTCACTCTTTGGGGTCTTAACTCCCAGGTGTACTGGCATGCTTGCTAACCCTTCATTCAGTCCTCCCCTCCAGTCCTTCAATAAACCAGGTTCATCCTTTCCAGACTTCCAGGGTGTTCTTAGATCTTCATTTAAAGTAGCCCCTGTGTGTGTGTGTCTCACCTCTGCTTCCAATTCCAGCTTCCTGCCAATGGGCACCCCTGGGGAGCAGCAGGTGGCCTCAGGTAGCTGTGTCCCTCCCACCCACATGGGACACAGAATCGAATTTCAGGCTCCTGGCTTCCGTCTGACCCAGACCGGACTGTTGCAGCCAACTAGGGAGTGAAATAGTAGATAGAAGATCTTTGTCTCTGTGCCTTTCAAATAAAATTGGGGAGGGGGGGGGTAAAAACAAAACTTCACTAAGTTTTTAAATAATACTTTTCTTCTCCCTCTGAGGCCAGTAGAAATAACATTACATACTACATATTAGCAATTATACAATGACAGGCAGCATTTGACACGAGTCATCAGATCGCAAAATAAGTAGAAAAGGATTATTGCTGGATTTCATGTGTTTTATAACCAAATTGGTTTATCAATGTTTGTTTTTCCCTCTGTGCAAAACCTTGAGACCCAAAAGTTGAGCCCTGTTCCATGGTTCCTAGCACAGGCCCTGCTAAACACCTGGTGTCTTTCCAGGCTTCACAGTCAAATCACAGTGCCCTCCACTGTGCAGTCACACAGGATCACGCACACCCCATGTGCTCTTATTTTCTCCCAGAGAATAAAGGCCAATATTTGGTTTTGAAATATAGCTCGTAAAGGCCTGTCACTCATAGCAAAAGAGAAAAATGTTTAAAGTGGTGACGCTCAGTGCCCTCCAATGTATACGATTCCCTTAGGGCAGATTTTGAGCGGTTCCCTCTTCAGACTGACACAATACCTTCTACTGAGGGTTGTCAGAAGCAGCAGAAAAACCTCATGTTCATCACAGCAGAAGAAAATCCATTCCCAGGGCTGGCGTGGCACAGTGACTCACCCCAGCATCTGCAGTGCCAGCTCCACTTTCATCCAGCTCCCTCCTAATGCACCTGAGAAAGCGACATTAGAAGGCTCAAGTACTCGGTCCCCCGCCACACACTTGGGATACCCGGAAGAAACTCCTGATTCCTGGCTTCAGCCTGTCCCAGTCCCAGCCTTTGAAGCCATTTGGTGAGTGAACCAGCAGATGGAAGATATCTCTCTGTCTCTCCCTCTCTGTAATTCTTTATAAATCATAACTAAACTGTTAAAAAAAATCTTTCTACAATTTAAGAGAGAAATTAGGTGAGCAATATGAAATTGCTCATTTAATATTTTAAACTAAACTATTAATGGAGCTAGGAAAATCCAGAACTCCCACTTTTGGATAATTCTTATTTATTTAAATACTTACTATTGCTAAAATGATTTTAAATTATAATAAATACAAAAGAAAGCGTTTAAACTCCAGGGTTTGATTATATTGAAATATAAATCTGCTAACTTTATGCAAGGAGCATATGAGGACTATCTAAATGGTTTATAGCATTTTCCTCTAACTGTAACAAGTCACTGTGCTGGAAAAATCATCTTATAGGGTAGGGTCTCGGGGAACATCAATCTTGCTTCAAGCAAAACCACTGTATTTTAGAGCTGATTCAGTTATCCGTGAGGGACTGAATGAGACATGAGGAACGTGCCTGGCTCAGGGCCGGTATGCCGTGTGCCCAGCAGGACCCGCGATCCAGGGCTGTCTACCCAGACATCGGATGTCAGGATTGGGTCCAGCGGTGCTTGGAGCCAGCTCCAAGCCAATTAGCATCCAGAAATTTCCCATGCTTCTCAGTGTATCACAGCTAAAACAACTCTGGGCTTTTTCTTAATCTTACAAAA